GAACAGTGAAGCACAGGGTCAGTGTTGAGGGCTAGTGCTTTTCTCCTATGACTGCTCTGAACAAGCTATTGAAAAGACCAAGAAGAGCTGCTGCAGGGATTTGAAGAGCTACAGAAACTGCCTCGTAAAGCAGTAAGAGTATGACTTGGATTCAGAGAGAGAAATTGGATGACACTGGGGCAGAGAGATGTTCGATTACATTTCGTTTCCAGCCTGCTGTCAAAGAGGGTTCATTCTGGTGAGAGAGAGGGATGGATTATCAAGGCTGCCTGGATTAGGGCTTCATATTTGAGGAATTCTTCCTACCTGTTGGGATATTCTGGTGTAATGTTTTCCTCCCATGGACTTCCTGGCAGGTAGTGCACTGTTTAGACCCTTTACCAGGGCCTGTGGTTACAGAGCTGGCATATGTCTGAATCCCAGAGGGGAGTATAACCAAATGCATATAAAGCTTTGCTGTTTATGCATTTCTGGAGCCACATTTCGTATTGGGAGTATCTGCTCTGTTATTCTCCATTGAGCCATTGATTATACATACTGCCCAACTTCACTAGTGAAGTGCTGGGTGCCCTTTTGGTCCAGAGTTTTGCCAAGGGGAAGGTTCTTCTTTAACTTCAGCTATCTTCAAGTCAGGCATCTGGTTTAAATCGATCCCAGCTCCCTGCCCTGTCAGTACAGAAAGCTAGGTCATTTATCCTGCCTTAAGACAGGTGCCTAGCATAGCTGAGGTGACTCACCCTGGCATTGCTTTTCTCACTCCATTGAGAAACTAAATTATTAGTTTAGACAAGATGCCTAATTGGGAGCTGGCTAAAGTTCAAGGAGACAGCTCTCACCCACTGCATGGGCTTACACAGAGCTTACCTTGAAGAACTCGCATCAGTGGAACGGCTCATGTTTAGACAGGAGTGCACACTCGAATGCTGCAATGAAATGAAGCTTTTTAAAGTGCTGTTATCACTACATGGAAAGGTGGTGTGGCAGGTGATGGGAATTCAGTGCTCAGGTACGGAGGAACAGCCTGTGTCCATGGAAATGTTGAACTGTCAGTCTCATTGCCCAGCCCAGGGCACTTGCAGCATTAGGCAGCAGTGAATCTCCACTTCTGCTGTGTGATGGGCAAGACAGAAAAAGTAAAACAAAAGCTTGTATCCTCTGTTCCATTACCACAAATGATTTGTAGTGGCAAGCTGTCCTCTAACACGTGAAAATATTTTAGCTTATTTCAGAAGTGCACTTCAGTTTGTGGAATCAATAGCATCTCCAGACTCTAGGGCTTGTCTCATTTCTCTGTTCCTTCTCTGCTTCTCTTCTTCTCCCTGCAATGTTTGCATGATTTTCAACTTTGCGAGGATGTAAGTTAAGTATTAATGTTTAATTCCAAGAGATGCATTAATATTCATTGTAAGTGTATTCATCCTGTGGCAGAAGTAGTTTGACTTTTCTGATGTAACTCACTAACGTATTTTGCGTTTGCATTAATGGTGGGAACTTCTGTTTGAATGTCTAAAATATTAACAGAAAAGCACCCAAACGCACGTGACTTCAAGCACTGAACTGATTTCTCTAAGCTGTTGTTTCTATGTGGCAGAATGCTGGTGGTTTAAGTGGTTAGTAGTAATCAAGATTTTGGAATTGCTAAGCCCTCTGAAGGAGGGCTTGTTTTTTCCATGGGTATATATAGTTAGTGGTTGTTCTGGATAATGGGAGGGGCACCTATGGGCCTAGAATTGTAAAGCTTACATGGAATGGAAAAGGGAATGGAGGAGTGGGGGAAAAAAAGAGAAAAAATTGTTCGAACAAACTGTAAGTGACTGGTGTGGAATTAGTAATTGTATCTTTATGTAGTTTAAATTCCCCAGAACAAAATCTAGGGAAGATGTGCTGCAGAAATTCTAGTGTTGCATGGCAGAAGTAATTGGAGCTGCTTAAGTGAACAAAAAAAGACTCTTTCTCTTGGAGCTGGAGAGATTACTGTATACCACATGGCACAAGGAATATTAAGAAATGAAAGAAAATAACCTGACTGGAAAAGCGGAGTATTCTGGAAGTATGATATTCAACTGGAAGAAGAGATTTAGAGATACAGCTTTGTTTATGACCAAAAGAAGAGTCAAAAGGGAAACACTCAGAGGTAGTTTTGCAGCTGTCAGCCCTATGAGCTGATGTAGTGTATGTCTGATGTGTTTCAAACACAGCATGATAGTAATGAAATTACATGACGAGCGTCTGAGATGTACTATATTCCACGAAGGAATTAAGCTTGAAGTATGTTTTTTGTCCTGAAGACAAAGAAAGAAGCTGATTCAGACTTTGTGACGGGCTGAAAGCTGAGCTGCTGTTCTTGCGATGCTGGGAGAGGTGACCAATCCCTGGTAAGAGGCCAGGTTCTGGTTAGGACCAGACACAAGAGAGGCAGACTTCACATGAACCTTTCACAAGGGAACTGGGGCTTGCCAGTGGATCTGACTTGTTTCTGAATGAGGCTCACTGAGGTTGTATGGGAATGCGGCTAATATTTCTAAAATAGGGTGGTTGGAAAAATAGGGCAGTCTCAGGACCTCTTTGAAGGAGAGAAGGTGGAACAATATTTTATGTTTTAGGTGGTACAAAATATGGCTGAAAAAACTCCATGAATCATAATTCTGGAAATGCTCTATTAGCTCTACTAGTTTTTATTATGATTAGGTATGCCTTTTCTGGCTGCTTCTGTAACTTGGATCAAACCCAAATTCTGTGTTTTCACAGCCAGATTACTTAGAGAGAATTTCTACACAAATCCAATCTTCAAGGCTCAGATTCACCCTTAAATACACGTAGGTCAAAATTTTGGAGCGTGCTGCAGAAACTTCTTTAATAGAAAGTAGAGTTTAGCTTCAAGTAGTGTCACTACCCTGACAGCTGTAGTTAGGAAAAAGTAATTATTTGTACTTGTCTACTACTGCCTTGCAAAGTATTGCAAAAAGTAACATTGGAGTGGTTATCAGTATTAACTAAGCAGCAGGGAAAAGTCTGCAATTTCTGATAGTCTATTTTCTCCATTGCCAGACCCACCAGGAGCCAAAAATACATCTATATTATGACTCTGTCTTTTTTATGTATTATTTGTCTAGCAAACAATGAAGCATCTGGTTTGGAGGCTTGCTGATTAGCACAACTGGAAAAAAAGCCAAACTGGAACACTATGGTTTACTACGGTTTTGAAATATTATTTGAAAAGCTGGATGCCAAAAGGGATGGAAATTATTTACGCATCTAACTTCACTTTTCCAGTTTTCCAGTTCAAGAGAGCAAAAGAAACTTGTAGGTGATGTTGTACACATCACTCACTCAAAGGCAGTATTTTTGCAGGTTTCCAAGTTCACTTGTATTTCTGTCCAGGGGTGGCTGGGTTCAAGACATTCCCATTATCTTGCATATCTCTGGCCTCAAGCAGAGGACTTTTTTTTGCTTTCTTCCTCTGAACTGTGGACACAGCCTTCTGATAGCTTTCTATGATGGCATGACTTGCTGGATAGATTAGGGGAGGGCAGTGAATGCTGTCTACCTTGAATTTAGCAAGGCTTTTGAATCTGTCTGCCATAACATCCTCATAGGTAAGCTTAGGAAGCATGGGTTAGATGAGTGGACAAGGAGGTGGATTGAGAACTGACTGAATGGCAGAGCTCAGAGGGTTGTGATCAGTGGCACAGAGTTGAGTTAGAGGCCTGTGGCTAGTGGTGTTCCCCAGGGGTCAGTACTGGGTCCAGTCTTGTTCTATATATTCATCCATGACCTGGATGAAGGGGCAGAGTGTATCCTTAGCAAGTTTGCTGATGCAAAACTGGGCAGAGTGGCTGACATTCCAGAAGTCTGTGCTGCCATTCAGCGAGACCTGGACAGGCTGGAGAGCTAGGCGGAGAGGAACATAGTGAAGTTCAACAAAGGCAAGTGTAGGGTCCTGCACTCGGGGAGGAATAACCCTATGCACCAGTATAGGTTAGGGGGTGACCTGCTAGAGAGCAGCTCTGTAGAGAAGGACCTAGGAGTCCTGGTGAGCAACAAGTTAACTGTGATCCAGCAATGTGCCCTTGTGGCCAAGAAGACCAAAGGTATCCTGGGGTGCATTAAAAAGAATGTGGTCAGGATGTCAAGGGAGGTTATCCTCCCTCTCTACTCTGCCCTAGACAGACCACATCTGGAATATTGTGTCCAGTTCTGGGCTCCCCAGTTCAAGAAAGACGGGGAACCACTGGAGAGAGTCCAGTGGAGGGCTACTAAGATGATGAAGGGACTGATGCATCTCCCATACGAGGAAAGGTTGAGAGAGCTGGGTCTGTTTAGCCTGGAGGAGACTGAGGGGGGATTTTATTAATGCTTATAAGTATCTAAAGGGTGAGTGTTGAAAGGATGGGGCCAGACTCTTTTCAGTGGTGCCCTGCGACAGGACAAGGGGCAACAGGTGCAAACTGAAACACAGGAAGTTCAAGCTCAACATGAGGAAAAAATTCTTTACTTTTTTACTGTGAGGGTGACAGAGCACTGGACCAGGCTGCCCAGAGTTGTGCAGTCTCATTTTCTGGAGACATTCAAAACCTGCCTGGACACGTTCCTGTACAGCCTGCTCTGGATGAAGGGAGTTGGAC